CATACCATGCAACTTCCGTTTATTATTTTACAGCAGCATATGTTCTGTAAATTCGCGTTTTTTTCCTAATAAACCTGATGAAGACTGGTATTGGCCAGTCGAAATATTGCCTTTTTTACGTTGTTTGACCAGTCTTTGCAGTAGTCTTTTTGACTATACCGGGTAGTCCTTTTTTTTTCTCTGTTTATCTTTTTCGACTGATAACGACCTTGTTTGGTCCAAAGTTGAGCAACATTGATCGTTCACGGTTTTGCAGTGGTTTTTCAAGCGTTAATTTCCGATACTAATGTTTCATCATCATCATCACCATCATTATTTTGAAGTAAAGTTTTTAAATCCTTATTATTATTATTATTATTATTATTATTATTATTACTATTATTATATCTGAACTTGTTCAACGAAATGAGTAGAAATTATAGAGATGTGTGAGATTTGTTAATCTCTCCATGAGCTCCCTTGGCGTTTTCTCCGATGAATGCTCCACGTTCTTAGACATGATGAATGACATTGGTATTGACAAAAAGCAGCAACGTTATATAATCAAGAAAATGATAAATATAGCCATTAGAGCAACATATTTACATCTTTTGTTGTAGAAATAGGAACTGGGATATCCCAGACTTGATGCAATTTTGATTTTTTTTTTTTTTGACTTTTGTTTCGATTTGTTTTTGTTTTTGTTTTTTTGTTTTTTTTTTTTCTTTTTAATAATCCAATCTCAAGCAGCATTTGTAAATTGCCTATACGTAGGAAGATTAACAATTGTACATTCAAAAACGCAAATAAAGTTTCCATTATTATTATTATTATTATTATTATTTATTTATTTATTTATTTATTCATGTTTACACGAAACGCTTAAGACCTAGCTTTTAGTTTCAAAAGCTAATCTTTCACTGTATCACAGCAATTTACAAGTCTCTTAAGTGCTTGACGATAATTACTGCTAACAATGAAGCAGATAATCGGGTTGATAGCACAGTTTGTGTAAGATATATAACGGGCGACAATAACGTATAGAACAAAAGTACATGAAAACCAAATGGAACTGTCTGGTGCACTAAAACCAACTATCACAAAGTTACTGAAACAAGGTATCAAGCAATTAAAAAACACTACAACGATAGCAATGGCCATCTTAAGCACGTTTCTGTTCCTTCTGGTGCGTTGTTCTTCGGCGTTGGCTGACTGTTCACCTGGATGGGCTTGCATTTTAAGCTTCATCAAGATGATAGAGTAAAGTATCACCACGAGGACAAAGGGGATGTAGAAAAACACGACAACAACTGCTAGGGTGTAATTTGGATATGTGTTCCCTCCGAAGGCTTCTATCCACAGACTTTCGCACATCAGTCGTCCTTGGTATTTAACAAGTTTATAAGTAACAAGAAATGGCGAAAGAACAGCCATTGCTATGAACCACGTAGCGATAATAAAGAATGAACACAGCTTTCTAGTTATGAGAGGAGAGCGGAGTGGAACCACAACAGCTCCAAATCGATCCACTGCTATCAGAACTAAGCTCTGAATCGAAACGAACGAGGAAGCATCTGCAAGAAAAGTGTGTAGCTTGCATAAGGCTTGACCAAGGGTACCACCAATAAGCCACGAGCCAACGTGCATCTCTGCCAGTTGAACAGGGAACAGACATGTTAGATAGAGCAGGTCGGAAAAGGCCATATTTGCAATCAACAGATTAATCGGTTTTCTCAAAGTTTGTGTTTTGTAAACAATTAATACGATGAGAGAATTTCCAACCAGCGAGAAAACGAGGCTCAAACTAAGAGCAACTGTTGTTCCAATTTTTCCTGCTTCTGGATTTATCAGACTGGAGCAATTCCAAAAACCTGATCCATTTACTGTTGTGTTCACTGTTACTGACTTCTCGACAGTTGAGTTCTCTTGAGGCTTGTTTCTACTGAAAAACATTCACAGTTTAAATAATGGTTTAATATATTGTGTATCTTTAATATTCAACCATCGACAACACTTCTGGCGTCACTGTATTTAATTGTGAGCGAATACTGCCAACTGCGGTCAGTGTAATCTTTGACGTATTTCAATATGACAACCGTTGAAGTGTGATCCACGATGACTGTGGTTTCGGTTCGTACCCCCTTTGATTAACGGGCGGGACGTTCATGCCTCGTGAAAATTGGTTTATAAAGCACGTGATACGTGAAATTTGTCAAAATTTACACGTAAAACGGGACCATATTTCACCCTTTGCTACCTTTTTTTTTTGTAAGGGAAAGGCACTAACATAGCTTTTACAATCTTGAAAAGGTCTTGAATTTTACTAGTCGTCTTGAAAAGTCCTTGAAATATACAACCTTGTCTACGCAAGACACCTTTTTCTGAGGAAAATTTGCCTCATCCCTAGTGTAAGAACTTGTAATTAAGCTCACCCGTAGTGTTAAAACATTTTTGTGAATGAACAATATTTTATTTCTGTTCCTTTCTTCAAACGAAAATTGGTTTATAAAGCACGTGATATGTGAAATTTGTCAAAATTTGCACGTAAAATGGGACCATATTTCACCATTTGCTACCCTTTTTTTGGTATGCGAAAAGGCACTTACTAACATGCTTTCTACAATCTTGAAAAGGTCTTGAATTTTACTAGTCGTCTTGAAAAGCCCTAGAATTCAGTTTAGGTCCCTGAAAAGTAACTTGTCTTGATTTCTATATTTGGTCTTGAAAAGTCCTTGAAACATACAACCTTGTCTACGCCAGACACCTTTTTCTAAGGAAAATTTGGCTCATCCTTGGTGTAAGAACCTGTTAAGCTCACAGATAGCGTTAGAACATTTTTGTGCATGAACAACATTTCATTTCTGTTCTTTTTTTTCAAATGCTATTTCTGTACCTCACATGAAATTGCAAGTCATACCCAGTCATTTTGCATCAAAGGGGGTTAAAGAATGCCAATTTATGAAATAAATCTTTAGTTACTCCTTTAAAAAACTGTAATTTGTCCTTAAAAAATCTTTGAAAAGTCCTTGAAATTTGTTTGTCTGAAGTTGTGCGAACCATGACTAATTTCTGTGTAATTACTTAACCACAGAATGGAGCTAAATACATCAACATCCTCATGAAATAGCCCGTTTTAGCTCTCTTAAATGGTACTTATGATAAAGAAGGTAAAAAAATAGTTGAACTAATATTGCAGAAGGAAGTGATGCTATCAATAGAAATACTTTCGATGTTTAATAATATACATTGAAACATTTTAGAGCGCTCTTTTGCCGAGGGCACGTCTGTTAATCCCAAACAGTGCACAAAAGCTTAAATTGAGAGCAGAAAGTTGAAATCAAATTTATTGACAGGAGAGTTACGAGTCTCTAGGTAGAACAATCGACAACTCCTTTATGTACTTTTTTTTCAGCGAGGATGAAGAATGAATAAAGAAAAGCAAATTGTACACCATGTTACCATAATCCCATAAAGCGACCCCTGATTTAATTCAAGTGGCGTTTTGAACCCACTCCACGAAAAAATAAAAAGCCGCATAGCACAATGCAAAGTACGTTACTGACTATCAAAACATAAATAAAAATTCAATGAAACTTGCAAGGTATTCAAGGGATTATACCTCTACATTTCTGCAATTTGACTGGCTTAGAGCAGTGGTGATTCAGCTTAATTTGAAATACCTACATGTGAAAATTACAAACCCTTTGCAGGTAGTAGTATAAACAAATAATAATTTGGCATAAATACCACTTGTGATATTTCAAAATTGTCTCAAATTCCACTCGCCTAACGGCTCGTGAAATTACGTATAACAATTTCGAAATATCACTACAAATCATGCTATTACCTATACAAAGTACTTTGATCCTTCTAAAATCGTGTTCGTGTTTTGTATCTCATTTCAGTAGAATTGCTAAATAATGCGTTAAAATGTGACGTAATTGACGTAAAGCAGCAATATTGTAACATCCTCATGACATGACCCACTTAATACCTAAAATAAAGTTGGCACAAGCATCGTGCAAGACAGTGACAATGATGTTTTCAAAAAAGAAGTCATTAATAGTCCATAAACAAAAAACCAAAATATATATATATATATGTTTAATGAGTGTCTTTATATGTTTATGGAACGGATACGGCTAAATTTTTTACAGCAAAAATCCCCAAATCTGAATATTCGTGCAAGAATGAGTTGTTCTACATGTATATCAGATATTTTAAAGGATATAAATTAAGTACTTTCTTTTCGGTGAGGATGAATTTCGAAGAATGAACAAACAAACGCAAATTGCACGCCATCATTAATCATAAGTAAAGCAACTCTGATCTAATTCAATCGGAATTTTGAACCAAACTTCTCGAAAAAATCAAAAGCCGCATGAAACATGTAAACTGTTCAAAGGAAAAAGTAGTTTGATCCTTCTAAAATCATGTTTTCTTTTTATCTGATTTTTAAGCTGGCTTCGCGTTTGGAATGACGAATACAAGAAAACATTTATACACCTCTCTTAAAGCTTTCTTTTAACAACTTTACGACAACTGGGAGTTCTTAGTACCTTTTTCTTTTCATTTGCAACTAAACAAATGTTTAAAAGCTAGGGTTTTTTACGTAATAAGACGAACAGTAGTAATAAAACACGTGCTGTAAGTGCTTTGAACAGCTTCAAAAACTTCCCCTGAGTATTTTTTTTTCAGTAGATCACAAATGCTAAACAATGCTTTGGTCTCAAAAAATTAATTCTTTCGGTCCTTCGGGCCTCAGTTTGGTCTAAAAAATAAGGGGAGGGCGCTCCCCTGGATCCGCCGCTGGGATAGCCCAAGGCAAAATTGGTTACAGAATAAAAAAAATAGTGCGGTAATAATAGATTTTAAAAAATGGTGAACATGATTATTCATAAGCGTCTGTTTTTCCTTTTTCTCCTATGGGAAGTCTAGCTAGTCTAGATAACTTAAATTCTTTACAACAAGACCATTGTTTTTGTTGTTTTTTTTTCGTTAGTTTTGTTTTGTTTTTGTTTGTTTGTTTTTTTTTTTTTTTTTGTGGCTTTTTGCTTATAACGCATGCACGGGTGAATAGGCAGGTGTTCGGGGTCGTTGTGGTTATGACATGAACGGAGAACCGGCTGAAGGCCTTAAGATGACGCTGGGTATTGAAAGACTTTCTTTGTTGTTATCAACATGACAGTTCCGCCGGCAGATGTTTTATATTCGAGCAGCTGCTGAGTTTACCCTATTGCACCTAAACTCAAACCCATCAGTTGTCTTTACAGTGAAGGACTGCAGAACCCTGAGCTCTTCTTTCACTTCTGCTGAAATCCTTGTCTTGGTTCGTGACAGGAACATGGATCGCTACATGCTCAGTACTTGAATTAGGTTTCAAAGTTCGTGCGTCGATCTCCTATCATACCTATTACTTACCCTGCCGATTGGGCATCAAACCATCCAGAAACGATGTTTTACAATTGAACGGCTACACCAGCTTCAATTGGCGTTTTTGGGCGTACTTTATGGAGAAAATGCGTTTAAATAAATACAACTTTAACTTTTAAGTTCCATCCTTCTTTAGGTTAGGGTTAGGGCTTGCCCCAACTGGTTACGTTGCTGTCGAAAACATAATTTGCATGCACTTCTTAAAATTCAGTGAACTCGCTGTTATTTTACAGTAATTAGCAATTATTACTGAACGACCCTTCTATTTATTTATCTAGTTTTGTTTTTTATTCTTTATTTTTTTTCACGAACCACCACACCCGGATTTGACAGGTTTCAAAAGTTAATCTTGCACTAGTCTTGCACTGCATCACAGCAATTCACAGTCTGTTAAGAGCTTGGCGTTAGTTACTGATAAAAATGAGCCGGACAGATAAATCAGAGTATAAAGTATAGAATAAAACTTTTCCATTGCTAAATCAACTAATACCAGATTAGTGGTCACTGGTATCCAGCAAATGAGGAACACTACAACGGTAGTAACGGCTACCTTAAAACGGCTTGGAAACTAAAATTTGATAGCATTTTGTTTTGAATAAGGGTATGGGCATGATTTTCAGATGAACATGCCTAGCGAGCGTAAAAATCGCATCCAGTCTGAGGATTAATGAAAGAGAGAAAATTTTATATATTTAGGCATGACAAAATTCAAGGGAACATTGGTACTTAGAAATAACATCTCATACACCGTATTCACAAATGGCGGACGCGCGGGAAAAAACTGGTACCTAATCATGAAAACGAGGCGTTGGAGGATAACAAACACAAATTTCTCACAAATAGCACAGTTTTAGTCAACTTACAGAGCGGTGATTTCTTCTTTTTACAACGTTTCGGCGGACTTTTTTTACTGTAACAGGTTTCTTAGGATGTGGTCAAGTTCTAAAGTTTACTGTTGTGTTCCCCTTTGCAACCAAAGGGGCCGCGTAGATCCGCAAGGAAACAGAGTGGGATTTTTTACTTTTCCGAAGGATCCAAACATTCGCCAGCAATGGCTACAGAAAATACGAAGAGATGTTGGCCCTAACTTTTCATTAACGAAAGATACCAAGATCTGCTCGTTACATTTTCGTGAAGAAGAAATAAAAACAGGCATTTCCGGCAAAAAAATGGAATTGGTGAAGGGCACAATTCCTTCGAGGTTTGCGTGGCGTACTTCTCCACGGAAAAGACATTCGCCATTAGACAGAAGTCAATTACCTGAAAAAAGGAAGCAAATGGAGGATTTATCTACATGCAACGAGAATGAATGTGCGGCTGAAGACCTACACAGTGTACCGGTAGCTAGCACGAGCACAGTAGACAGTAGCAGTCTTTCAGAGGATGATATGGTTTCAAACAACCTCGAAACTTCTGACCATGAAATTCAAGAAGAGTCACTCGAATCATTGAAAATGCAGCTGCTACATGCCCAGAAAGAGATTGCTTGTTTAAATGAAGATTTATCAAATTTGAAATCACGCTTAGCTAAAACTGAAGCTGAACTGGTGAATTCAGAAAAGGAACTCAAACGTCTATCGCAGGAAAACAATGACCTAAAATCACGTACGTTTTGCATAAACAATCTGTCAGACAACGATTCTATTTCATTTTACACTGGTTTCCCAAACTTAGAGACGTTCAAAGCAACGCTTTCATATCTGAATCCAGGAGAAAATGGTGAAAATATTCGATACTGGCGTTCAATTGATGTGAAAGTAGACGACGAAAGGAAAAGTCAACAAAGGGATTGTAACAAACCTGGGCGAAGAAGAACTCTTCAGCCAGAGGAAGAGTTTTTTCTGGTGTTGTGTCGATTGAGACAGGGATTTAACGAGAAACATTTAGCATTTTTATTTGGCATTTCTCAGCCGACAGTTAGCAGAATTTTTATTTCCTGGATTAACTTTATGTTTCTTCGTTTTGGCAATATAAACATTTGGCCTAGCCGGCAGGAAATTAACAAAACTATGCCTGAAGATTTCAAAGTTAAATATCCAAACACGCGTGTCATCCTAGACTGTACAGAAATAAAATGTCAAATGCCAAGCTGCTTGCTTTTTAACAGCAGATTATTTAGTTCCTACAAGAACCACACTACACTCAAAGGGCTTATTGGGATTGCCTCTTCAGGAGCAATAACATTTACAAGCCAGCTGTATACCGGCAGCATTTCAGACCGGGAAATTGTAGAAAGAAGTGGTATCCTGGACTTACCCTTCAGCGAGGGTGATGATATAATGGCAGACAAAGGTTTTACAATCGAGGACTTGCTTCCTCTGGGTGTTAAATTAAATATACCTCCATTTCTTGGCCAAGCAGCTCAGATGTCGCCAGAGGATGTGGTTAAAACACAAGTAATTGCAGCATTACGTATCCATGTGGAGAGAGCTATTAATAAGATCAAAAATTTCCACATTTGGGACAGAGTAACCCCTCTATCTTTATTTCCTGTGATTAATCAAATGTGGGCAGTCTGCACCTTTTTGTGCAATGTCCAGGACCCCATTATAACTGAGTAATACGTACCAATGCCATACCTACCTATGGAAACTGAATTGCCAAAAACAAAAAGAGTGCAAGAGGCCTCATAATAATTGACTTATTTAAGAGTACTGTAATAGATAATGTGAGATCTGGAAAGTTTACTGACTTGATATATTGCTTTTGTTTTGTGAGTGCACATGTGAGTTACATTTGACATTGAAATTTAAATGGGACTTGCTGCCAGGGTGTAACAGATTAAAATTAACCTGCTTTTATTTTATGTTTACATGTAGGTGCTGCTCTTAGTTCTTTTAAACGTTAATCATGTCTGACTCACCTACACTTGGCACTTGAAATCCTAAAGTCAATTAACCCTATACAGGGAATACATAACCAGGCAGAAAAAACTGGCATTGAAGGAACGCTGTAACTAGTCTATAAGGCTCCAACTATGGCAAACTTAATGAACTGTTCATAATAATAGTAAAGGAGTTTTCTCTCAAGCTCTTGCCAGTACAGCGGGTCAAAGAGGACTCTCTCTATTGATATTCCCTTTTTGGTAAAAATCACAAAATCGCACCATTCAGCACCAGTTATCCCCATTTGCCCTTGGATTTGTGCATAATAGGGATGTGTTACTTTCAATTTACAATTCCCATCAATGTTCTCACAACAAAAACTGGCTTCTGAACAAGCATCCAAAGGAGTTACTAGAGACTTCGTTTCTGGACATTTAACTTCTAGTAAGCCAAATGGCTTGCTGCAACCTGCATCAAAAACTTTTCCGTCAGGTGAGCAAGCCAGTACTGGTTCCTTTTTGTACACAACCAGACCGCTTTTGAAAACTTCAACAGGGATTGATCTCTCATTCATATACTTCATATAGGCATGAACTGCTTCGGGCTCGTATTTAATTCCATGTCTCGTATGTCTTGATGTAAAGGGTTTTGGGTTCATAAGCGTGTTAGCGAAAGTCTCGTGATTTCTTTGTCTGTGAGAAATCAAGTGAAAATTAGACGCTGTAAATCTGTATTTACGTTCAGACCTCCACAACTCGCTATTCGCTTGGTCTCTCGTCGCAGCCTCTAATGCGTTGATTTCATCCTCATCGAGGTTAAACTTCTTTACAAATTCATTTTCCTCATCAGGAAGTTCACGTCGCTCACCTTCCCCTTGCTTTCGTAAGGGGAAGGAAGGAAATTGCTCTATTTGTTGATTACGAGGCATGTTACGGGGAACAGCGTCTATGTTAATAGAGACATCAAAATTTGATTCCGTAAATGATAACTTGCATAGGAACCAACTGGGCTATTACCAAATTTAGTTTCGGTTAACACATTGTGATTGGCTGCTACGTTCGCTAGCCCCATTTTTGGATTGATACTTCTTAATGTATCTTTGAATTTTTTTTCTTCTGCTTCCTGTACTCTGTCATTTGTTCTCGCTTCATAGAGAAGACACTTTAATCCCTCTTTTTGGATTTCATTATTGTTCGCCAGCTTTGTTTTTTTCACAACCAGATCCATAACTGGTTGGGGCACAATAGTATCTCCCCTCCCTTTTCGGTGCCATGTTTGTAGTTTTGAAGTGCAAGCTTCTTTACTATTTTGGTCCGCGTCATCATGCAAGTCGAGCGTGCTTTTGCTTTCGTACAGAGAATATTTGCACATTTTAAGCATCAGGGCTAAAGCATGGTTACAATAACCTGTTTTCCCCGCCACGCAAGAACATGTTGACTGAACAACTTCACCTTTTATAATACACAATGCCAGCTGAATGTTATGTGGGGCATCGTTTTTTCTGAAGGAATGGTGACACTTGCAGCGAAAATAGAAATGTTTATCGTCACTGGTACATTCAATGTTTTTAAGGTATTCGTCTTCCAAAAATGTCTTTCCCTTTCTCCAGCTTGTCGGGACGGAATGATTAGTGCTGCCCAAGCGCTTTCCGCTGTTAGAGATGAAACGATCCATCTCAGCTTTCGTAAAAAGTGGCATTTTTTCTAAATTAATTCCCCAGCCATGCTGAGGAAAACTAAAATTATTAGCAGTCGAAAACGTGATAACAGAGCTTGTGGTAGTGTTTGTGGCGGTGTTTGTTGCAGCCGATTCATTTTGCTTTGCGAGTTTTCGTTTCGTGTAAATTAAATCCGGGTCTGGGTCGACAAGAAAACCATCCTTACCCTGATTAATGTATTCTTCAACTCTAAAAATGTAAGAAACATATAATATAAAAAGATAAGCTTTAATTTAGAGTGAAAAAGCGACAATTCAACAATCGAAAATGATGATGGTGGTTTCATACCGCTTTACGAGTTGAGCTTTTGTGCGAAGTCCTTTTGCTGGATCGTTTCTACATTTAAGCCAAAACCGTAATTCTTCATTTTTCAGCTGTGCTGGATTTCTTCCAGCTAAAGATGACCCGGGAATATCTTCTTCGTTAAGGAAAACGGACATGTTTACCTATAACTTCTTCTATGATCTGTAAGTGTTATCCTCCAACGCCTCGTTTCCACGTTTGGCCGATCACTCGTCCCAGGACAGCCGCCATTTGTGAATACGGTGTATAGGCATGGAAAAAATGGGTTCATGCCCTCGCAGCCCAAAATTGACCCAGCTAAACTTAGGTCCCAGATCTCTCGCTGGGTTGATAATTAATTCCCAGTTTTTGCCCCTCTGGTTTGCCATGGCGGGCATGCCGATGGTGAAGCCAGTTGGTTTGGCATGCCCGGCATGCCTGGCAAGAAATTGCCATGCCCAGCGAGACTGATTTTGATGTTCGCTTCAGCATCATATCCTGAGAATCACGTATAATCGCCAAATATATCTTAGGGAGCTTGAAGTTACAGGTTCCATGCCTGGCAATAAATGCAGATTATAACAAAAAAAGTCATGTTTGTCACAATGCCTGTCACTGGATCGACTGGCCAAACTGAAGACAGAAGCCTGGATTTATAAATGAAAAGCACAACAAAACAATATTATTCATGCATAAAATAGAATATTTAACTTGCAATCAAAAATTAATCTTTTTATTTCAAACCGATACTGACATTTCTGGGTCCAGATTTAAATCTGATGGCGGAAAAGCGTCTTAAAAAATAAGATAACAAATCTTCTCAGTATAAACTTATCCATGCTTAAGTTTCATCGCGTCGGAATGTTTCCCGGCCGGTCAACAGCATTAAAAGACTGGTGAAAATTAAGCTTACCAGGTCGTTCAAGTCAGTACGAGAGTACGACGTTAATACTGCAAAGACGTTCTGATTTGGTGAATTTGGACTGCCTTCTCAGAGAGATTTTGCTTAGTTTTTCAGTGCGCTTCTTGTCGGCTATGCGAATCTCGCAAACTGTTTTACTCCTTGCTGACGATAATCCTTTGAGCAACGTCATCTGCGTCATCCGAAGATACCCCGAGCACGCACGAAATCGGTTGTGGCGTCACGATGTCGTCATGTCTCTTCGCACTTGTTTGTCTTTTTTTCTTTTCTGCGGTGCATGGTTGAGATGTTGGTGAATGCTGCACAAGAAATGGATTCTGCGAGAGACTGTAAGAACAAATGTAGTATTAATTTGGTAAAGAAAAAGCCTTAATATCGAACAAATCCCGTGAATTAGCCTTTTGGCATTCAGTTTATCTTGCTGTTGAGCATGCCTAAGAACTCCGGCATAAGTGGTTGTCAACTCGTTCACTTCGGATTGTCTCTGTTTGTATGTCTTGTAATCTTCTTCTGCTGCTAAGAATACTAGAGAAAACTTCAAACATATAGAAACCAAAGCTAAAAAAGTCAGATCTAATTTTATAGCTTGAGTATAATTATTTTTGGCACCTACAGTCATATTTTTTCACTGTACAGGTAAAGTTACTTATTTTTGCTGCATAGTTTGACTGTTGTTTGAAAGACAATCAAACCGATATTACAATCACCTTTGGAGACAAAATAAAATATCCGTAAATCAAATGCCAAAATCAGATTTGGATTTCGCTTTAAAAAAATGAACATGCTGCAGGTATCAATGAAAAGTTGTAAACAACTCAATATAAGCAGTCTGTGAATGTGCGTTTAGGTCCACAAAACTAATTTTTCTTTTGGACATCTCATCCAAGCAAAGACTTAAACAACCTGGCTTGGTCCGACTTTTGAATTACAAAATGTTCACGTTTGCCGGCTCTACTTTAAATGAACATGGTTTTTGAAATGATTTTGTACTATTTTAACCCGAAAATTATGATTGGGTTATAAAGCTTTTAAAACGGACGAAAACTAAGCTAATAAACATGTTCAATGTAAAAAACTAAGATTTAGTCGCTTTTTCAACTTTGCTTTGTGGACCGAAAAATTTACCTTTACGCAAAAACAAAAGCAAACATTGAGGCTTTTAATTACTCGACATATTTTGGTGAGAATTTTATCTGATCAATTTAATGTCACTAGCATTGTTTTCGTATAGGAATTTTCCTAATTATATGAGCTTTTAATTTAATAGCTTCACTTTTTTATACACCGATTGAGAAACAAATTCGCTCTCGTTAAATCCTATTGTTTATTTCGCAGTAGAAGAGCGTGTAAACATCATCGAACAACGCAATGTAAATTGGCTAATGTGAAACCACGTTTCTTTCACTTTATTTACCATGCATTTATCTCAGTTGCTCACTCTTGTGACATTTAGCCTCAGACAATTAGTTGCGACCTTTAACAGACTCAACAAGCCAGTATGAAAATATGTTAAGAGAAGCTGAGCTCTACATGTTCTATTTCATTTTTTCATATTGCCCTTTCATGTGTTAACATTCCATTTATTTTTTGTTACAGGTAACTTCTAGACATGACGAGGAGATAATTACTTTTCTAGAGAGCAATTCTTTGATAATGTCAGTTATTACTGACTTACTTTGACTTAAAAACAAAGAACACAGACACTGGTAATGACACAAAAACATTAATCCCTGGCAAGCCTACAAAACAACAAAGAGGAACTCAGACTCCTTATCAAAATGTGAAACAAGATAAAAACAGCTTTTCTAACGTAGGGAAAATTGCGTTAGAGAGATTTGTAATTGCAACGTTGTATTCAAGCACATTACATTGTCAAACATCATAATTTACTAAATAATGAACAGTGATTTTGGGGCTTAGCTCAGTTTGTAATGAAAGTTTGAAAGATATTCTATAACCTTGTATTTTTTAAAGCTTTCATAGAACATAGATGCATTTTATTATACAATGAAAATAGTCTCTGTCTCTCTTTTTACTGATTTCAGTCAATTCCATTTTATTCGCAATGTGAAATGGGAATCCTATTAAAGACTCATTAAAAGGGGTGAGGAGCTTTTACAATCCCCCAACAGGTCATCTCCACGATTACGCTGTTTTATTACTACGGCAGAATCCCTCAGGGTTTTACTTTCTTGTGAAAATTAGAGCTTTTGTTATCTAAACTTCGCTGGGACAACCAAATCTATGATGACCTCATCGTGTAACCGTACATCAAAAGATAAGCACTGTGATCTGTTTAGTTTTTTTTTTAGCCAGGCTTAAAATATCTGTAGATTCAAGGAATTATAACCTGTGCGTTGAGAGCATGCCAGAGACCGATTATGACCCAGATTGTGGCACGCCCGGCATGCCAGAGAATTTGTCATGCCGGGCATGTCAGAGAATTTGGCATGCCGGGCATGCCAGAAAATTTGGCATGCCCGGCATTTTGCTGGGTATGAATTACTTATTACTAGAACCTAGGCTTCTCGCGGCCTGGGTGAGAAGGTCACGGAACCTCAAATTATGCTTACAGGGCATGCGAAATTCTGTTGCATGCCAATTTCAATGCAAAACCACTCTGGGGCCACTCCCTCTATTACCAGTGAGCAAATCATTGACGATAGGCATGGGAAAAATCCTTGCATGCTAACCAACATTAAAAACGTAGCAGAAATGTCCTCAGTTGCTTAGTCATGCCCTAGGGGAGGCTTTAAAATACTGAATTTCCTGACATGGATGAGGGAATTTTCCTTAAACAGCATGTGATCATGCCGGCTAGGACGTATTGCCTCCGTATTGCCCCTTTTTACAGCTAGCTAGGCTCATTTTTAGGTTCCATGGCCTGAAATGACAAAAAATTCATGCCCTAAATGTAAATAGTCCAAAAACGTCCTCGAAATTTTAGTTTCCAAGCCGTTTTAAGCACTTCACTTGTGCGTTGTTCGTCATCGTTGGCTAACTGTTCACCTGGTCAACGGGCCTGACTTTTAAGCTTGATCAAGATAATGGAGTGAAGTATCACCAGGAAGACAAGAGGGATGCAGAAAAACACGATATAGCACTTCCTAGCAGGTAATTTGCATATTTGGTTCCCTTGAAGGCTTCCTGCCACTGATTCTTGTACATCATCCCTCCAGGGTATTCAACAAGTTTAACAGCAACAAGATATGACCAAGGAACGGCAATTGCGACGATACAGCAGGTAGCGACAATGAAGAATGGACACTGCTTGCTGGTTATAAGAGGGAAACGAAGTGGAATTACGACATTTCCAAATGGATCCACTGTTATCAGAACAAGGCTCTGAATCAAAACTTTCAAGGAAACATCTCCAGGAAAAATTTGTATCTTGCACAAGGCCTGACCAAGGATACCACCAATAAACCAGGAGCTGTGCAATCGAGCCAGGTTAGCAGGGAAACTGAAAATTGCAAAGAGCAGGTCGGACATGGCCATGTTTTTGATCAACATATTTATCGGTTTTCTTAAAGTTGGTGTTTTGTACACAGTAGTTTTTAGGGAGTTATTATAACTCCGAAAATGGAGCAAAGATGACCCCCTTTTGGGGGTTACTTTAACTCCTAATTTAACTCCAAATTTGGGGTAATTTTACTAATGAAAAAGAGTTCTTTTTACTCCCAGTCTGGAGTTAAAATAACTCCGAAAATGGGTTTATTTTTACTCCTTACTTGGGTTGTTTTTACTCTTTTTTTAGTTACTTTAAGTGGTGTAGAAATTTTAGGTACAGGATAACTCCTTTTTTGGGGTTATTTTAACTCCTCAATATCTGGGGTCATTTTTACTCCTGAAAAAGAGTTCTTTAAACTCCTTTTTGGAGTGAAAATAACTCCCCAAAAAATAAGTCCACTGTAAGGAGTTAAATTAACCCCACTAGAGGAGTTATTATAACTCCTTGAAAATTACTGTGTAAACAATTAATATAATGAGAAAATTTCTAACCAAACAATAAGGATCAAACTGAGAGCAACTGTTGTTTCGAATTCATTATTAGATAAAAAACCAAGGGACGAGGACTGTGACTGCGCGATGCGGTAGTTATTATGTCAGCTCACCATATGACCAATTTACATTGCACTATCACAGACTAAACTTTTAATGACACAAAAATATTAAAAGATCCTAAAACACTAATTTACAAGCTCACCCGATTATCGACTTTCTAAAATTAGCGGACAGTCACACGCTTGGCTAGCTTTTAAGCGGCAGTCATCACATGACCATTTTACATTCCACTATCATATACTAAAATTTTGATGAAATAAAAATATTAAAAAGATCCTAAAATACTAACTTACAAGCTCACGCCATTATCACTTTCTAAATTAGTGGACACTTCCTTGGCTAGCGTTTAAGCGGCAGTCATCAATGAAATCTCCTTGTGGAATTTTCTGGAAGGGTGTCCTGGAACCTCTTACGCATGTGTTTTAACCGACCTTAAAATCTCAAAAGAAAGCAGTGTTCTAATCCAAGTAATAGTGATGTGGTAAGGTTCCTCATTTTTTTCTGACAGCTTCTCGGCTAGGCGTTTGAGAAAGCAGTTGCAGTCGGCTCCCATCCAACCGTTGGTTCCAAAAACTAGGGGAGTGAAAGATCCTATTTCAACTTCCAGCACCCTCTGTTGTTACTTCCGCTTTTTCTCCTCCTCCTGCTTCTTAGAGATTTTGGATGTTGCTTTTCCCTGGTTACACTTGGAGTTAACATGCGTTACTCTGACATCAAAAAATGCCGTAACTCCACGAGACCAAAAGACCCCTAGCTGCCTTCAAATGCAGTCTTGCCTCCGAGCTTGTTACCGCGCCTCTGAGGTTGAATCGCTCATTATCGAGAGGTTGTAGTTGTGGTTCGAGTTCAACGTTGGTGCAAACCTTACCAATAAGTGAGGTAAGTAGGTTGCGAACACCACCGTGTCTGCGCCACGAACCCTCCCTTTTTGCATTAAGGCCGATACACACGAGGGATTTTGCTCCCGGAGCATGCTCCAGGGTCACGCCCTGGGAGCAAAGCTCCTCCGTGTGTACCAACGATTTCATGGGTATACTTCATCCTCGGGAGCAGAATTTCCACCCCGCAAAATGCTCCACGATATTTAACCGGTTAAATATTTGGGAGCAAGTTCGCGGGGCAAATTGAGCGAACTTGAAAACGCTCCCTCGTGTGTACTGACACGTGCAAAATGAGACTGGAGCATGCCCGGGAGCAAAACCCCTCGTGTGTATCGGCCTTGGCGGACGTTATACTTCTCACCACAAACAAACTTGCTTGGTAAGTTGGTCAGGGGGCACATTATTGTTTTCTTCCCCTCAGACTCAGTCAGACTTGAGCACCTCATTCCTCCAGGGTATTCGACAAGTTTATAAGCAAGAAAACATGGCGAAAAAACGGCCATTGCGACGATCCACGTGGCGACAAATGAAGATTGGACAGTGCTTCCTATAGAGTGACCAGAGGGCAACGAAGTGGATTTAAAACAGCTCCAGACGCATCCACTGCTATCAGAACCAGGCTCTGAAACAGAACAATCTGCAAGAAAGACTTGTAGCTTGCATAAGGCTTGACCAAGGGTACCACCAACGAACCACGAGCCAAAGTGCATCTTTGCCAGTAGAACAGGGAACAGGAATGTTGGATAGAGCAGGTCGGACATGGCCATATTTGCGATCAACATATTTATCGGTTTCAAACGTCGTGCTGTTGCCGTGCCGAACTATATTGATCTAATTACGAAATTCGACTTTAGCACGGCAGTAGCGCGACGTTTGAAACCAAGTCGTGCTAGTGCCGAACTCAATTTATAAATTATGAATACATTAGAATACATTTAAAAGTTTGCTAAATCGTTTCTATATTTTTTGTGTTTTGTTTTCGGCAATAGCCGTCCTATTCGACTGAATTAAATTCGTCGTCTGAAACCAAGTCGTGCTAGTTTCATGCTGCAGTCGAGCTACAGTCGAGCCAGCTTAGCACGGCAGTAGAACAACGTTTGAAGCAGGCCTAATAAAGACAAGTAATACGATGAGAAAATTTCTAATTAGTGAAACAGCAAGGATCAAACTGAGAGCAACTGTTAATGTAATTTTTCCTGCTTCTGGATTTATCAGACTGGAGCAGCTCCAGGAACTTGATCCATTTACTGTAGTTGTGCTCATGCTTACTGACTTCTCGACAGTTGTGTTCTCTAGAGATGTGTTTGTTAATGTACAGCTAAATCAAAAAAGGTTAGTTTGGTAACAGGCCCTTTTACAGTTGTATGCTCAGTGCCCTGATCTTTGAATAGAAGCGAGGCTGGTGCTGACCTGGTTTTGTTACAAACCTTCTTGTTTTTCATATGTAAATGATCATGTTCACGGGCTTGTTAGCATGAAAATGCCACGATTTGCACATGAAAAAGCAGTAAGGTTTGTAGCAAAACAAGGTCACCGCCAGCCTTGCTTCTATTCAAAGACCAGGGGACTAAGCACACAACTGTAAAAAGGCCTATTGGACTTGCTGAATAATGCGAATTTGTTTTTCAAAACGTGTTGATTGAGTGAAGTTAAACAACAAAACCTGCAAAAAATAACAAATGTTGCGCAGAAATGTTTATGCAAATGCATTATCCAACTGAAGTACGATTCGAACGCCGTGAAAGCTTGTAAAAGATAAAAAATCATTTCAAATCAGCCTCTTGAAACATCCACGGCAAAATCAACAACAATCATCGAAGACTAACTTAAAGTTTGAAGCGCTTTAAAACAAATAGTTCCATGCTAATTCGTATAATTTTAATTTAGACACTTTTTGAATAGACTGAAGTCTTAATATAGCCGCGTGAAGTTCTATTCTTCTTCGGATATTAGACACAATGTTGCGGGTGTCCGAGCAAGAACAATAACCAAGAAATGGATATACACGGGGGATTTGTTGATTGACATTCTCTCTGCGTCATTTTTTACTTATTTTCATTTTTACGATCGCCAATTATCAAAGAGCACGTTTCTGTGATGGTGTGTTCCACTTCAATTTTTGTCCAACACTCGAATTCTCTGTACTTGCGGATTGAACTATTATTGTCACATTTCAGTCAATTCTATGATCATGTAGAGACACTGCTTTGAAGTTGCTCAAAGTTTTATTAACTGGAAAAAATTGAACCTGTTCTTTAGAGCTTTAGACCCAGCTTTAAGTTTTCTAAAAGTTAATCTTGTACTATATCACAGCAATTTACAAGTCTCTTAAGTGCTTGGCGATAATTACTGCTAAAAATGAGGCAGATAATCGGGTTGATAGCACAGTTTGTGTAAGATATATAACGGGTGACAATTACGTATAGAACAAAACTACATGAAAACCAAATGGAACTGTCCGGTGCACTAAATCTAGCTATCACAAAGTTACTGAAATAGGGTATCAAGCAAATGAAAAACACTACAACGATAGCAATTACCATCTTAAGCACGTTTCTGTTTCTTTTAGTGCGTTGTTCTTCAGCGTTGGCTGACTGTTCACCTGGATGGGCATGCATTTTAAGCTTCATCAAGATGATAGAGTAAAGTATCACCACGAGGACAAAGGGGATGTAGAAAAACACGACGACAACTGCTAGGGCGTAATTTTCAAATGTGCCTCCGAAGATTTCCATCCACAGACTTACGCACATCAGTCGTTCTCGGTATTTAACAACTTTATTAGCAACAAGAAATGGCGAAAGAACGGCCATTGCGGTGATCCACGTAGCGATAATAAAGAATGGACATAGCTTTCTAGTTATGAGACGAGAGCGGAGTGGAACTACAACAGCTCCAAATCGATCCACTGCTATCAGAACCAGGCTCTGAATCGAAACGAACGAGGAAGCATCTGCAAGAAAAATGTGTAGCTTACATAAGGCTTGACCAAAGGTACCACCAATAAACCACGAGCCAACGTGCATCTCTGCCAGTTGAACAGGGAACAGAAATGTTGGATAGAGCAGGTCGGACATGGCCATGTTTGCGATCAACAGATTAATCGGTTTTCTCAAAGTTGGTGTTTTGTAAACTATCAATATAAGGAGAAAATTTCCAACCAGCGCGAAAACGAGGCTCAAACTATAAGCGACTGTTGCTCCAATTTTTCCTGCTTCTGGATTTATCAGACTGGAGCAGCTCCAGAAACTTGATCCATTTACTGTTGTGTTCATGCTTACTGACTTCTCGACAGTTGTGTTCCTTCTCTTGAGGCTTGTTTCGACCGAAAATCATCTACAGTTCAAATAATGGTTTAATATATTGTGTATGTTTGATATTCAACCATCGACAACACTTCTGGCTTCACTGTATTTAATTGGGAGCAAATACTGCCACCTGCGGTCAGTGTAATCTTTGACGTATTTCAATATGACAACCGTCGAAGTGTGATCCACGATGACCGTGGTTTCGGTTCGTACCCTCTTTGATTAACGGACGGGACATTCATGCCTCGTGAAAATTGGTTTATAAAGCACGTGATACGTGAAATTTGTCAACCATATTTCACCTTTTGCTACCCCCTGTTTTTTGTAAGGGAAAAGGCACTAACATAGTTTTTACAATCTTGAAGAGGTCTTGAATTTTACTAGTCGTCTAAAGAGGCCTAGAATTCAGTTTAGGTCCTTGAAAAGTACTTGTCTTGATTTCTATATTTGGTCTTGAAAAGTCCTTGAAATATACAACCTTGTGTTGTTTTTTGTGTTGTTTTTGTGCATGAACAACATTTTATTTCTGTTCCTTTTTTTCAAATGCTATTTCTGTACCTCACATGCAATGGCAAGTCATACCCAGTC